CACGCCGCGTATCTCGCTCGCGTGCTTGTCGCGCCCGCGGTCCGCGCCGTGAAGAGCCGCCTTGCAGAGGCGTTGCTCTCCCTCCCTCCCTCAGGCCCGGGGACTCGGCCTGCCCGGCTCGGCCGCCGGAGTTTACGGGCCGCGGCCCTCGCGACCAGCCCTTCTCCGCCCGGGTCCCAAACGCCGCCGGGGCCGGGGCCGGGGCCGGGGCCGTCTCTGGCAGGAGCGCAGCTGCGGGGCGCATCGATTGCACCGTCCGCTGCCCGCTTTCCGGGCGGGTCTGCCCCGAGCGGCGGGGCTCGGCTCGGCTCGGCTCCGGAAGGGGGTCGGCCTCCTTGCCCTGGTCGTCCCCGGAGGAGCGTCCTCCAGGCGGTTCGGGGCGTTTCAGGTCTCTTCTCTGCCTGGAAAATAGCTGGAGACGGACTCTGGGATTTAAGTTTGGAAGTCAGTCAAGGCCGGCTCAAGTTCACCACCCTTGTCAGCTAACACCATTTTGTGTTGTTGGCGATAACCTTCAATTTGGGGGTTGTGTCACGGGATATACTTGTTAATCTCTTTTCCTTTTCTTTCGTTTGCTATGTCCTGACCATGAAAAAGTCCGAACGTTCAGGTGTGCCTTAATTTTATTTATATATACATATAAAATTGGTCGCTGCTCATCTCGTTAAAAAACGACTGTATTACCAGTTAATACAGTTGATTTGAAGCCTCCAGGCCTGCGCGCCCTGATCCCGCTCTCCCCCACTCCGCGCCCTCCACTTTGGACCACCGCCCCCATGATGTGCATCAGCTGGGCCGGTTGAGTGCAACGGGCCTTGTAGTCCAACCCGCGTGGAGCAGGTTGGGAAGCTTGCTGCAATGCCGTTTTTTATAATGCACGTAATATGTACACGCACAAATAATCATTGGTGTAATAAAGCGCTGTATGGAACAAAACCATTCCCAAGGCAGCTTGTGTATAGAAAAAAAAATACTAGTAAAAACTGACATGAAATATGCCTCTCTTCCCCCCCCTTTGCTTCCTGGCAGAACGGCTTTACGATTCCTCTCCTGTGTGCTGAGTTAGTTATTCCACTTCCTGCCTCCTGTAGCTGTCTGTTGCCCTGGTCTGTTAGAGACCAAGATCCAGAAATGAGGAGGAATCTGGCACAGCGGTGCCTTCTCCGACTAACAACTTTTATTCAGCGGCATCAGTTTTCGCGAGCCGCAGCTCACGATGCCTTTGGATAAAACGTGTTCGCGGGAAAAGTGCTAAAGACTCCTGGTTTTTTGCTACCACAGACCAGCAAGGCTCTCCCCCTACAAAGACCGACGTCGAAGCATCTTTGTCTTTTTCCGTCTGCTCCGGCAGGACCCAGTTTCGACCTCCTTCCTGTTTAGCGAGGCGGGAATGTCAGCGGGGCAGTTTTTTTCCCCGTCAGCTGCCGCCTCCAACTTTGTCCCCTCCTTCTCTTGCAGTGGGCCATGGAGGGTGCCTTTGTCAAGCACAGCGTGCGGGTCCTTCAGGAACTCAACCGACAGCGGGAGAAGGGCCAGTTCTGTGACGCCACCCTGGCGGTGGGCAGCTTGGTGTTCAAGGCCCACTGGAGTGTCCTGGCCTGCTGCAGTTCCTTCTTCCAGACCATGTACGATGGCGCTTCCAGCAAAATCATCCTCCCGGAGACCTTTGTGGAGGTCTTCACGCTCCTCCTCGACTTCTTCTACACGGGACACTTGGCGGTCACCTTGGACAACCGGGAGAAGCTTCTGGAGACGGCGAAGGAGCTCTGCATCCCCGAAGCCATCCAGCTGTGCCAGGAGTTTAAATCCGGACACTCGGAGGGCGCCAAGCAGAACGGCAAACTTCCGCTCGACAAGGACCCTGGCGTTCCTCCTAACGCCACACTGGATTTGCCGGGAGAGTCAGCCTGCGATGCTGCACCCCCAGGCCCCCCATCCCCAGAAAGTCCCCGGATCCGGGGAAGCCAAGTAGCTCAGGGGGAAAGAGAGGGTCCCACCCTCCCCCGGGGAAGGTTGAAAAGAGTTCCCAAAACAAACGTCCTGAGCTACGCAGGTGACGTAAAGGACGCCCCGGAATGTAAGGAACTAAAAAGGCCACTGAAAAGAGAAGCTGCCGAGGACGCGGGCGCCAGTAACGAGGTGGCGTGTGGAGTAATGTGCTCACGAGGAATTGCCATTGTCTGCTCCCAACCCACTTGTGCTAGAAAAGAAAGCTTGGGGGGGAGTGACTTGCCCCAAGTTTCTCTCTTTGGAGCATGGGGAATTTGGGATGCTCTCAGATTCTTCCCTGTTCCAGGTTTTAGAAATTTGGGGCAAGGGAGATCTGGACCAGGGGCTTTGCTGACACCCTGCTAATAATGGGGACCTTGTTGAGAGTTTGAGGACGGGCCCAGATGGCCTGTGGGTTTGTTTGATTTTTAATCCTCAAAGCTGCATGCGTAGCATTCCCTCCTCCATCAAAACCCCCCGGTTGGTTGGGCTGAGAGCAAAGTGAGGCAGTTTCCGTAGTAGAGGGTGGATTGGAACCCAGGTCTCCCTCCTAGTCCACCATCTTCATTGCTAGCCTAAAGACTGGCTCTCCAACTTCCCCAAAAGCTTTCAAGGGGGGTCTGATAAAGACGGAGCAACAGATTGTGGCCATCACTTGATCAGTGTTGTAGATGCGACGCCTCAAATGAGCTGCTGTAGAAATGCTTCAGTGTGCAAAACAGCCATAAGCTCTGGGCCTTCATCTCCTCTCTCTGTTGAGCCGTGGTGAATTATATCTGTACCGCATGACAGAATAGCGTCGTGGACCTTCCCACATCGTCAGCTGAGAGATCCCAAGGGCTCAAACCTTACTCTGCCGTAAAAAAACCCCAAAACACTGAAGACAGAAACTCTTTTCTTTTTTTTAACTCAGACACTTTGTCCCGCTCTGAGACAATTGTCCAAAAACACCAATCTATTGAGACTCTGGAGGGCAGATTTTTAAAAATCATTTATGGGTGTGCAAACCTGCACGGCAGCTGTGGAAAAACGAAATTGCTGCAGTCTCTGATGGCAGCGGAATAGGTGAAGCGCAAAGAAACACACTAACAAATTCACCCTGCCTTCAAAAGTGCAAGCTTTGTTAAAATCCATAATTCATGCTATTAGAGATTCCAATTTAGAATGCCTGAGTTTGAGAAATCTAGTGTTATTTTAACATTTGTGTGCGTTCGTATTTCACCTTTTCATCAAGCAGGACAATCAGGGTAGCAACATCGGGGGGGCAAATTAGGGAAAAACGAGGCCATTAAAAATGCAGAAATAATATTAAGACCAGTGTTTTTCAACCTTGGCAACTTTAAGATGGGTGGACTTCAACTCCCAGAATTCTGAGAGTTGAAGTCCATCCATCTTAAGTATTTGGGGAGTTGAAGTCCATCCATCTGTGTATTTGGGGACAGACTGCTGGAAAGCCACAATCGCCTTTTAAAAGTTGACACTGAATTTAGCTCAGTGGCTCAGCTTTAATTCTAACTCTTTGATCCAGCTTGAAGTTCTTAGATCTTCCTAATGAGCAACTGCTTCCTAATGAGCAACTGTTTGGGCTGGTCAAGAGGCCGGCCTTCATTCAGTTCTTGTGACAGCCAGTGTGATTCTGCTTTAATGGGTATCTACAAGCCACCATGTTCTTCCCGTCAGGAGACACAGGAGGTTCTGGGATCAAGCGATCTCCCCTCTGAAGATTACAGCGGAGGAAGAGGAAAAGAGGACACGGATGAGGATTACGTTCCTGATCAGAAGAGCGTCCGGGCAAGAAAAAGGACTTCCTTGAGCAGAGTGTCTCGCAGCAGCTCCAAAACCACCGGAAATAGCCATCATCTCAAGGCCACAGCCCTCAGACCCCGCAGAGGCACATCTGAACCGGTTGAATGTCCCACCTGCCATAAGTCTTTTCTGAGCAAATATTATCTGAAGGTGCACAACAGGCAAGTTCTCGGGACTTGTTGCGGGGGGAGGGAGGGGGAGGCTCCTGGAAGGGGGTGGGAAAAGATCCCAGGGAACTTGTGGAAGAAAAGGGAGGTCTCTGCTCTCCGTTGGGGAGGTGGGCTCCTGGGTTCCTGGCTGCTTGGGGTGAACATACTTGGGCTGGGGTTGCAACACTCTTTGTTGAGTTGCTCACAAAATTGAGGTCGGTGGCAGCGTTCTGTGGGGATGACCTTGGGAGACAGGAGGAAGAGCCACAGACTTGGCATCGGTCAGATAAGAGGGAACTGAGCCTGCAGAAGGAGGGAAGGCATGGGAAGAGTCTTAGAAGGGACCTCCCTAGTTTTCTGGAGAGTAAAAGGAGAGGAAGGGAGAAACACTTTCAGGCTGTTAATGTAACTTTGCAGTAAAGATAGAGCTAGGATTCATGGCTGGTGCTTCTTGACTGGACTGCCTTGCTGGGCTGTCATCAATCTTGCAGTCTGAAAGGACCTCTCTCCCCCTTCTCCTTTACAGCCCAAAATACTAGGGAGGGCCCCTTCTGAGATGCTTTCCACATCCCCATTCCTGCTGTGGGCTCAGCTGCCTCTTCTCTGACCGCTGCCTAGCCTGCGGCTCTTCCTCCTGCCTCCCGAGGACATCCCCACAGACCATTAGGCCTGGTCTGCAGCACAAGCACGTCGTTACAGAGCACCCGTTTCACGTGGGATGCTTCCTACCATAATCCTCACACCTCCAGAGCGGGCTAGATGGATCCTAAAGCCTTGTTTCAAAGGAGGTGTTTTTTCCTGGGTCTCAGAGAAAGCCACGGAGTGTTCCCTCTGGACACAGTTCACTGCAGAAATGGCCACTTGGGGGGGCGGGGGGGCTGGTGATGGAAACCATGATGGAGATGGACCAAGTGATTCAAACACAGTATTCTGCCCTGTACTGATGGTAATGGGTCCCTGCTGACCAATCCTGTGGTCCAGTGCCAACCTCAGAGGGAAATGTCTTTAGAGGAGGAATAAGTAAATAGGAGTTGAGCTATGGCTCACCTTTTGGTAAAATGGTTGGCCTGCATTGGCACGGTGGATAAGAAGGGTGAATCAGTTTCTGATTCTGCCCTAAGAATTGGCCTGTTTGAGGTATTGGTAGCTTCCTCTGAAGCACACTCCCTGGAAGGCCCAGTGCCCAGTACCACTCCCTGGAATGATCAGTGCCCAGCACCACTCCTTGGAGTGACCGATGCCCAGGATTGCAAATCTGATCCAATTTTTGATATTTCTCCCCATCCCTTGAAGGAAGCACACAGGGGAGAAGCCCTTTGAATGCTCCAAGTGTGGGAAGTGCTACTTTCGGAAGGAAAACTTGCTGGATCACGAGGCCAGAAACTGCGTGAGCCGTTCAGAGCAGGTATTTGGGGCTGGAGGTCTTGCAGCTGGTTTACAGACCATGAGACTTTGGGAGCCACAGCTTTGAGGCCCTGTACTTGCATGGGGGGCCGAGACCAGCTGGGCTGAAGTACAGGAAGCCCAGGCCTGTGTCCACAAAGCCAGCCAGGAAAACAAAGCTAGGTTGCTGTGCAAAGCTTGTCTCGGAGCTGAGGTTCTGGAGAAACCCTTCTGGGAGGAGAGTGGCTGCTTCAGAGGGCCGGGAATCTGAGCTGAGCAAGATGGAAGAGTTGGTAGCTGTTGCTGTCAACTTGCAAGCTTTCTTCCCATTGGGCTGTGGCGGGACCTTGGTGGTCACTCCTGGCCTAAGACAAGCAGGAGAAAAATCAGTTAGGGGGTAGACAGCGACACCGAGCCTTGGCCTTTCTCCACGCAGGCCTGGGCCGTGTGCATGTGCGTGCAATAGGCGTGGAGGCTGCCTGCTCACGCCCACCCAGCTGTTCCTATGAGGTGGTTACAGAGACAGCGTAGGTTGATACGCAAGAGGAGAAAATCCAAGGCGGAGGGGTCATCCAAAACTGCTTCTTAAAACCAGCCAGAAAGCCAGTCCAGATGTTCACAGAAAGATTCTTCTGGCCCTCCTCCCGGCTACGCCTGGGGGGCTGTTTGGGGAGGCCTCTTGGGGCTAGAACCGCAGAGAGCAAGGCGGGAACGCCCGCCCTTCTGCTCGCTTTCCAAACGGACGGCGGCTCCAGATGTGCCTTCTGGGACGGGGCGCTCTGGGCCAGGCTCTCCCTGCTGGCTCCCTGACCCACCTCTCCCCCCCGCAGGTGCACACTTGCTCCATCTGTCAAGAGGTGTTCAAGAGGCGGGTGGAGCTGCGCCTGCACATGGTGACCCACACGGGAGAGATGCCTTACAAGGTCAGCCTGCCTTGTCCGTGAGCATTGCCGGGCATCAACCTGGTGAGGCAACAGCACGGGTGGCGCGCTTAGAAACCCTTCCCAGAGTCCGGCCAGCCCGGCCGCGGCTTGATGCTTGCTTTTTTCCCTCCCAGCTGAAAATGGTATTACGAGCTGAGTTTCAGGGCTATTGTGAAGCTGGGTCTGCGTATCACGTTAACCCCAGTCCGTTCAGGGCAGCGGCTTGTTGGACGAGTCCATCCTCGGCCACTGAAGCTCCCTTGGGGTTGTTGTTCTCTCTCAGCCCATCCTACCTCACAGGGACGATGTTGGGGGGGAGATAGCAGAGGAAGCCTTGTGTACAATGCTCCAAGGTGGGACAGAGATCAAGTAAATAGTGGCCTATTTTCACACGCAGAGCTGTAATGGGCGCATTTGCAGACCCAGCTCAGCCCAAAGCAGTGTATTAGTGCTATGTGTATTTTAAAATTGCCATATATATGATAGAAATGACCATTCAGGGAGCGTTCAGCTTTTGGTTGTGTACGTTAGCTGTGTTGCTGCCTGTTTCCTATTGTGACTGGAGTGCCTCCTGTTCCTCTTAGCTGGGAATGGTCCACCAAGCGCAACCGAAGGGTGCCAGGGTGGAGCAGCAGCTCCAGCCCTCGCCCTCTCCCCTGCCCCCTCGTGACGTGCCCGTCTCTCTTGCAGTGCTGTTCTTGCATCCAGCAGTTCATGCAGAAGAAGGAACTGCAGAGCCACCTGATCAAGCTGCACGGCGCCCCCAAGCCCCACGCGGTGAGCCCGGCCGGCTCCGGCAGGAGGGGGCTTCCCCCACGTGCCAGAATTGAAAGTGCTGCAGTCTGGAGGTGGGGGGAGGACGGAGCCCCAGAGCCGGCAGGATCCAGGCGAACCTGTTGGCTCTGCCTCCCGCCTTTGGAAGCAGGGCTGGGTGGACCAGGGCCCCTCCTCACCCGGCCTCTCCTCTCACCCCTCCAGTGCTCCTCGTGTTCCAAGTGCTTCCTCTCTCGCACGGAGCTGAACCTGCACGAGGCCTTCAAGCACCGGGGGGAGAAGCTGTTCGTCTGCGAAGAGTGCGGCCACCGAGCCTCCAGCCGCAACGGCTTGCAGATGCATGTCAAGGCAAAGCACAGGTGCCGGGGGCGGCCCACCGGGCTGGGGCAAGCTCCGAACTGGCCGGGAGGGGGGGCCTTTTCTGGGGATGCCGCGGCCCGGGTGACGGTGGTCCCGCCTCTCCTGCCAGGAACGAGCGCCCTCACGTCTGCGAGTTCTGCCAGCACGCCTTCACCCAGAAGGCCAACCTCAACATGCACCTTCGGACCCACACTGGCGAGAAGCCCTTCCAGTGCCACCTCTGCGGGAAAACCTTCCGCACGCAAGGTACCGGGGCAGCGTGGCGCTCTGCTGCATCCTCTCTGGCAAGCCTGGGGCGTAGCACAGCGCGGGGCGTTCCCCCTCCTGGCTGAACTGCGAGAAGTGAGCAGGGTCCGCCGGAAGGTGTGAGGCTCTTTCTGCTGAGTGCGCCTGATGAGGAGGGGGGAGAGAATTTCCCCATTTTGAGGGCTGGCGGTATGGGGAAGCGGTCCCCCCACTGCACGCCTTTGTCTTGGGACAGGTGACGTGTAGCAGGTACGTAGGGCGAAGGAGGCGCATCGGAGCTGCGGAGGAGGCACAAGAGACAGTCCACAGGCGCGAGGCAGAGATTAATTTTTCTGTCCTCATGCGTGTCTTCGCTCTGTTCTCGTCTGCAGCGAGCCTGGATAAGCACAACCGGACCCACACCGGGGAGCGCCCCTTCAGCTGCGAGTTTTGTGCCCAGCGGTTCACCGAGAGAGGCCCGCTGCTGAGACACGTGGCCAGCCGGCACCAGGAAGGGAGGCCGCACTTCTGCCAGATCTGCGGGAAAACATTCAAAGGTAACCTAACGCAGATTGGGGTGGGCAGGACAGCGTTTCCCAGGCTCTGGCTGAAGGCGAGGGAAGAGGAGTTCTTCCCTTGGGGAGCAGGGGAGGGCTGACTCGCTGTTTGGACTCCCTAATTGTGGGGAGCAAAGGTGGGATCCTGCCGCCACTTAACCAGCCCATTTCCCCCCCATAGCAGTGGAACAGCTGCGCGTCCACGTCCGCCGGCACAAAGGGGTGCGAAAGTTTGAGTGCACGGAATGTGGATACAAATTCACACGACAGGTATTGT